AAAGAATTTCAATTACACAAACAAATTACAAGATACAGACAAAATCATTAGAAATAATCACCAACGAAGACTGGTGTGCTCCTTATGCAAGACAATCAGCTTCGGCTTTAGCATTTTAATAGCAATGGCAAATTTCAGCAGTTATAGTTTTAAGAATATTCCAGAATATGAACAAAGAATATGCCCCATACGATCTCTTATCATTCCATCAAAACTAGCTGTGCCTGGATTTCCAAAAGAGCTTCCATCAAATTCAGTTTGTATGCATTAGCAGGTGGTGGCGTTCAAACGACATCCATTTGATTTGATCAAGGAGAAAATAAACTGACCACAACCCTATGATTTGCAATGATTTAGCTTTTTGGGATGAATTTAACATCTTTTATGTATAAAAAAACTAATATGCTACCCATGCGAAGATATTGGATTTCAGCATCGAAGAATCAATGCTCAAGCCTTCGAATACATTTTTGATATTGGATTTCAGCATCGAAGAATCAATGCTCAAACCTTCGAATACCTTTTTGTTTCTTTCTTTCCATGTACCTCAAAGAATACTCACCCAAATTGATCTCCACAATATTATGCCGATTTTTGAAATACCAAGAGTAAGCTATTGGTGCAAAAGCTAACTAGTATTTTTTGGTATATGTACCGACAGGTTTAGGCACTGATGAACCCAATCCCAAAAATTCACCACAAAGGAGCAATCAAGGAAAAGGTGTCGGGCCGTCTCATTATTAACTTTACAAAATATACAAACATAACCGTTTTTTTGAAAGTTATCAACAATAACTAGTTTATCTTAGCTTAAAATCCACAAGAATAATTGAAGTTTTAAGAGAAAAATTCGTATAGAACTCTAATTCCTCATATTATTTCATGATAATATTTTCTTTCAAGCGCCATAAGGAAATCCCTAAGAATTTCACCATATCCCCTCATCTCCTTATTTATTGACTTTTGACCATAAAAATTAGCGCCAACAAATTTTTTTATATCATTTCATTCCAAAAACATTTTTAGCCATTTTTTCCCTTTCCGCCTATTAAAAAAAATTGAGTTGAAATGGTATAAAAAGATTTGTTGGGGCTAATTTTTATAATCAAAAGTCAAATAAAAGAAAGAGATAAGAGATGATAGGGTGTAGTGAGATCTTTAGAGGTTTTCTTATGCCGCTTGAAAGAAAAACGAAAAAAAAGTCTATCATGAAATAATACGAGGAATTAAAGTTCTATATGAAATATTTCCAAGTTTTAAAGGCACATGAAGCATTTTATTCTTAAAGAGACCAGCATTTAATTGTCCTATATGATAAAAAAAAAGAGGAGATCATAGGTTGACTAAACTAAAAAAGCTCCCTAGTGATTGAGATCCGAAAAGCTTATATCTTCTTTCTTTGGTGAGATATAAACGCTTTGAATTATTACTATAGGAGTTTGGTATTCATTAATAAATCTATCTGAAACTATTTTATGCCTGCAAGGTAAAGACCACACAATGTTAGTAAAAAAACCCCTTCAGCCTCTTTAATTTAAGCTAATGGGTTATTATATCTTTCCAATTTGTACTTTTTAGACACCTTTACTTCCCTCCCCAACCCCACCAAAATACCTTTGATAACATGACGCCCATTTTATGTCGGTCTAGACCGACACCACTTGAATCTAGAGTTTGGTCCAACACAAAAAAAAGAGTTGATTCAACACAAAAAACTTTGTTGAACTAGCTCTACATTCAAGTTGTGAACACATTAGTAGGAAACTGGCCAAGAAAGAACGTATTTTGATTAAAAAAACCCTCCTTTTTTTACTTGGGGAACTGGTTACAAATATAAAAAGTTCTGGAGCTAAGAATATGATTTACAAAGTCTTAGCAGGTGGCATGCCTATAAAATAAGATCAAGGGAGGTATCTATAATTTTTCCAAGTAAATACCCTCATATGAATATCAAACGTATTAATTGTCATCAGTTTTTGAACTACTTTTTAGAGGAACTAAATATAGGTATTGGTGAGACATTTGTCATATGTAGTGTGATAGGCATATATCTATTGACGTGTGTTCAAGTGCCGACATACAATGTGAGAGTGAAGATAAAGAATACCATGTAACACTACCCCACCCTAAGACATATTTTAATTATCTGTTTATCCATAGTTTGCTTGAGCTATGCCGGTGCAAAAAATAAATAGTACAACAGAAATGGAAGAAGTTATACAGCATGTATTCAAGGGAATACTTGGTTTACAGGAGTCCATGCTAGGATTCAGGGGATCAAAACATCCTACGTTCACGCGGTAGCATTTTTCTCTCCACTCCTTGTCATAAATTTCAATATAGGAATATTTTTCGGTCGCCATATTTTTGGGATGTGATCTCCTCAATCCGGCTAAAAATAAATAAAAAAAATGAAATGCACTTTATATGTGCTTGAAAACATTGTTGCCTTAAAATGATTATTTTTTCATTCCCGCTAACACTTTCAAAAACCCATAGTCATTACAAATGCACATTGTGATTTTCATTCCCAACACCTTAAAAAACAGATAGGGGCTTGTATTCTCCACTGAATTACCCCCTAAAAAAGTACTTAAAAACTTATTCCATTTTTCAATAATAATCTTGTGATTCTTTAGTAGATCTTGAAATTTCATTAAAAAAAATCCTAGCAAGCAGCTCTTTCACCCAAAAGAGCAGTACATAATATGCTCCAGCATGAGTAGAGCGCATGAAGTGCATATAAAGCTACTCTACCAGCCAGCCCTGCCTTGAAATATTAAAGACCGGGTCACAAAATATTTCCATGAGGGCCCCTTCGACCTGGTCCTGGCTTGGGTAGGGCTAGGTCCACCCTGTTGTTGACCCCACCTTAGAGCCAGTCCTTACGCACCTATCACTATATTTCTCTTTTTTCACTTGGACGCATGCATTTTTTTTTTCCGCATATGACCCTATCCATATATATATATATATATATATGGAGAAAAATATTGAAATTAACCCACTAGCTCAAATAAATATACGTGTTCATATAAGCCCAACGGCCCAAATTCAATCTGAGCTGATCACGACTTTATTTCGTATTTGAATTTTAATGTTTTTTCCACAAATTCAAATAAATTGAAATTTTAAACGTGTATTTTTCAAAAATAGAAGAATCTAATAAAAATATCAAAAAAATAATTTACAAAAAATAAATTAACCAAAATACCCTTAAAACGTTTCGAGAGTATTTTAGTCAATTTAATTTTTGTAAATTATTTTTAAAATATTTTTATTAGGTGGATGAAAAAAATAAACGCCTAAAATTTCAAGTTAATTGAATTCATAGAAAAAAAAAAAAAAAATTCAAATACGAAATGAAGTCGTAACCGTTAGATCAACCATGATTCAATTTGGACTATTGGGCTCATATGTTCATATGAGCTGATAGGCCAATCTCAGCATTTTCCATATATAGACATATAGTAATGATACCATGAGACCCTTCCACACCCATGTGAGTAGAACCCCAAAAGATTACCATTAAATTTTGACACATATCTATAG